CACCTGGACCTGAGCGGGCACTGGGTTTCTGGGCCGAGCCACCAAGTCCACGCGGGCCTCACGGAGCACAGGAGGTAGGCCCTGCCCTGCGTGGCCTCCTGCCCACCGACACCTGCACCCAGCTCCATGCTGGCCCAGCTGGGCCCCGGTGTACAGAGCCCTTCTCAGACCCCAGCCCACACCAGGGGACAGAGCTGTCCCCTCTAAGGGCAGTTGGCAGCCCGGCCACCTCACCAGGGAGCACACAGGGCCTGTGCGAAACTCAAAGTGCCCCGGTGTGAGGTCGCACTTCCCAGGTGGCTTCTCGAGGGTCACCGCTGCGCACGGCCAGCAAGTGCCCTTCCCAGCCCCCACCGGCCCCCCCAGCCGGGCTGTGTCACGCAGAGGGCCCTGGGGCACCCGGGAAGAGTCTGCTTTACAGGTGGGAAACTGAGGCCGGGAGAGGAGGCCGTGGCAGCAGGTCCAGGCCGGGTCTGCCTCCGAGGCCAGGGCTCTCTGCAGAGCCCCTGGGGGTCTGCCGTGCCCCTCCCCATCGGCCACCACCCACTTCTGGGCTGGAGGTCCCCAAGGTCTCGCTACCTCCAACCAGACCACCTGGCCCATGGGAAAGGCCCGGAGGCAGGCCCCCGGCCTCTAGGTCGTGGGGTAAAGCTGAGGACCAGGCAGGGGAGTGGAGCCTTCTAGACACGGCGCCCTGCTCCATGGTCCTGTGCCCTGCACCAAGAGCAAGCCTCAGAGGCAGGGGGGAGCCCCGGCCAGCGCCGCCTGGACCCACTGACCCGAGCTCCTCCAGAGGCGGGGCCCAGGCTCAGGTGTGTGGGGCCCGTGCGCCTCACGCCCCGTCTCTGGAAGGCTCTGCCGGGCCCAGCTGGTCAGATGAGGCCCCTCCGTCCCTCACCCCTCCAGCCTGGCTGTGCTGAAGGACTGGGCACGGGAGCACCCCCTGAAGTCGGGTCCCGTCTGGGGCGTCACCGGGGTGCCTCTGGTGTCTCCCACAAGGCACCTGCCATTTGGTGATCAGCCACCAGGAAACAGCCGCACTGGGTCTGTGGGACCCAGGAAGCCTCGGGACCAACGGTGGCCGGGCTCGACTCAGGAGAACAGGGGCGTCCCCGGGAAGTCAGCTCCCGTCCAGGGAGGAGCCGAGGCAGCAGCCCCGCCCAGGACACAGGGCAGCTCTCAGCAAACCCCCAGAGGGAGGCCAGGAGGCGAGGATGGGGAGGCCGGGCCAGGCCTGGAGCGAGGTTTCCTGGCCTCACCAAAGACCCCTGGCCCAGCAGGGCGGCGCCGAGCATGGTGGGCCTGTCCTGCACTGGGGGGAGCGTGTCCCAGGGCCGGAGCGAGACAGAAATGTCCAGTCGTCCCGGGGGTGGAGGGCGCATTCTGAAGGCTCCGAGTGACGGGCACACAGGGCGGCTATGGAGAGCCCTGTCCCCGAGGCTGTGCCAGCCACGAGTCTGGGAGGATCTTCCTCCACCTGCTTCTTGCCAAAAGACCTGATGAGATCAATGACGGTCACAGGGGACTTTCTGCCCAGGGCTCCCAATCAGTGCTGGAAAGTGACCCATCCGTTTACAGCAGGGCACTCCCACCTGGCCCTGTCACCCGAGGCCCGGCGTCCCCCTCTGAGTCACCAGCTGGACTCCAAGGCAGGGCTTGCCCCTCCGCCCTTCCACAGGCCCCGCCAGAGGCCACCAGACAATGTCCTAGATCACTGGCTCCCCGGGGCGCGTCCCCATCAAGTCACAGGTGAAATGGCAGCTGGGGGGCCTGGTTGTTGGCAAGTGGCAAAGAGAAGGTGCTGGCCCATCCGCCCGACGACGAAGACCGAGTCCTCGGCCACTCGGCCGACTCCGAGCCAAGAGATGGAAGTCAGAGTCTGGGGCACCAGGAAGGAGGCCCCCGGCTCCTTCGCCCACAGGGTGACCGTCGCCCAGGGTGGTGTCGTGGGGCCTGGCCTCTTGTCCCAGGTCGGCTCTGGCGTGCTGCAGTGTTTGGGTCATCTCAGGGGCCAGGTGCCTCCCGAGGTCCCTGTGGCACACACAACATCTCCCCCGATAGGGTCTCGAGCTCCTCTGCCCTGGGGTGCCACCGCACAGCCGGGGGCTGAAGGAGCCGCTGCCCCCGGGGGGGCCAGTGCCCATGGCGGGCTCTGCTAATGGCCGTGGCACGGCTTGGGCTGGGTGGTCAGAAGCAGGTGCCTAATCTGCATCCCTGGCACCCAAGGCCCCCAACGCTGGTGCTGCCCCCCGTGGGTCTCTGGGAGACCCGAGACCACTCTGCAGACCGGGGAGCCCAGGGAAGCAGACCTGGGGTGGGCAGTGGGAATCTGCGCTCAGACATTGCCGGGGTCAGGTCCCCCCAAGGGCCGGGCCTATCTGCTTTCAGGATGAGACTCCGCTGCCTCACAGAGCCCAGGTCGGGTCAGAATCAGGAGGGGCCTCCCTGCCCAGACCGTCCTTCTAGGAAGCCCAGAGCCAGGAAGGACAGAGCACGGCTCCACCGTGGGCCTCCAACCATCCGGGTCAGCAGAGGGACCGTCCTCCCCCACTGGTCTCCATGCACCCTGGGAAGGTCACGTGGGAAGCCCCTCCCCACAAGGCTGCCAGCCTCAGGACGGTCTCCCAGCGTCCATAGTGGCCTGGGCCTGGCTGCTGAGGTCCATCAGTGTCCTGCAGGTGACATGCGGGCCGTGGGTGGGCTCAACCCCCGTCTTCCTGCCTGGGCAGGCTGAGCGCGGGCAGCTCAGATGGTCCCCACTGGGCCTCCTTTGGCTTGGTGCTGGCCCGTGCGCTGCCTGGCAGCGAGGTGCTCCCGATGGCCACGGCTGGCGGAGGGAGGCCCGCGGCCTCCCTGTCCTCCTCTCTCCCCCTCCTTTGGCTCCGCCCTCCCTGTGCGGAGGCTCGGAGGAGGGCGCAGGGCTGCGGCCAGGGAGGAACCTGGGCTTCAGGATTCCCTGGTCGGAGACCGTGCCCCCGGCCCAGGCTGGGTCCGCCTGCCCCGGCTCCCCGCTTCCACAGGACCTTGGGAGTTGCCCTGGCACCCGGTACCTTCCCTCCAGCCCAGCTGCCCTGGCCACTTCCTCTCCACAGCCTCATGGCAACTGCAGGCCCCAAGCAGGACCCGCCCGAGCAGCTGCCAGCCCCAGTGGCCACACCAGGAGAAGCCCACACGTCCTGCCGCAGGCGGAGCCCGGACGCGCTGTGCTGGCTGCCCGACACCTGCCTGCCCGGCTTCCCGTCCAGACGCTGGACCGTGGGCAGCTGTGAGCTCCTGGGAGGGAGGCTGTGGACCCTCTGCCTGGCCACCCTGCCCCTGTCCTGCTTCTTGGCCCCACCAGCTTCCAGGCCAATGCCCCGGCAAGTCTCGGATGATGAGGAGGAGAGCTCAGACCCTGGGCAGCCAAGGGCCACGGAACAAACGGGACAGCTTCCCCCCTGGCTTTGTCCTGGTCTCCAGCAGGTTTGGCCCAACCCGATGCTTTGGTCACAGCAAGGTAAGGCCAGGGCTTGGGTGGGGACAGCACGGCATCTGAGACGAGTAGCACTGCAGAGAGCCCTCCTACAAGGGCCGGCCAAAGGCCTGATGCTCGCCACCAAGGACAGCAACTGGGGCTCAGAGAGATCGTGCTACTTGCCGAAGGGCACACAGCCAGCAGCAGGGGAGCCAAGCCTAGAGTTCGGGTCGCATAACCCCACAGCTCTAGAGTCAGACACGCAGAGCGGTTTCTCCTGCTGTGGTACCAAATAGAGCCAGGGCCACCCCGCAGAGTTCAGGCAGCTCCGACAAAGCCACTCTGTGAAGAGACCTGCTCCGGGGCCCCGAGCGCCCAGACCCGCCCGCGCCCTTGAGCTCCAGGTCATCTTAAACCAGTGCCACCGCTCAGTCACCCTGACCCGGTGGGGTCCACAGATCCACCTCCGCAAAGCAAGTCAAGTAAGCCAGCCGTCCCTTCACAGGGACAGGGACAGGAGAGCACCCCTGAGTGTCCCGGTGACCCGGGCCCAGACAGCTCCTCAGGCTGACCTCCTGCACCAGCCTGACGCTGGCTGCCCAGGGAGCAGGACGCGGGGACAGGGCAGGGAGCCAGTTCCCAGCTGTGGCCAGGCAGGCCCAGCCTCCAGGGGCTCCCCGCCCGGGGAGGGGGCCGGAGGTGGACAAGCACTTGACTCGGCCTCCTTGCTGGTGACCGGTTCCTCCCCTGGTCCTGAGTCTCTCCCAGGTGTGTGGTGGTGCAGGGGTGACCTGCAGGTCCAGCGCCAAGGCCACAGTCGCGACGTGGAGCCAAGAGGAGGCCTCATCTGCTCTCACCAGAAAAGGGACGCGTGAGCCCAGGCGCCCGAAGGGCCCCGCGCAGCCCTCTGACCCCGGTGGACACCCGACAAGGCGGGTCTTCACCGTCCGGCCCGCGGCCTCGGGTTTTCTCCTGGACTCTTCCGACTGCCCTGCCTGCCTCTGGGTGGACGGCAGCCTGCAGGGCCGCCCCTGCTCCCCTCCCCTTCCCGTCCGTCTGTCCGCCCGGGGGACCTCGGTGAATGCCTTTTGAAGCTCCATGAGCAGGTGCAGGACGCCTGGGCCTGCCCCGTCCTGCCCTGTGGGTGCCGGGGCACGCGGGTCGCAGCTCAGGGTCTCGGCCTGCGCTCGCCCCGGGCGCGCGGCCTGCGGTGTCTTTCGGTTCTTCTCTCTTACTCTGTCTCCACGGGAGGTCGCTTTCCGCTGCTGGGTGCTGGGCCTGGTCAGCGGGGTGCTGGGCGCTGCCCCTTTTCCTGCCTCCTTCCTGCCTGGGCTTCTCGGGCCCTGGCCGTGGCTCACGGATATTGACGGGGAACGTCCCCGTCTCTGGCTGCCTGAGGAAGCCAGCGTCCTGGGGACAGCTCGGCCGTGCCCTGACTGTCCCCACTCCCCCAGCCCCTTGCTGTGGTGGTGGCCCTGGCCCTGGCCCCAGTCTTCCAGGCCTCCGCTGCCTCCTGTGCCCGCTCCTGTGTGCTCCCAATTCGCCGATGGTGGCCTGGCTCAGGACCCATGCGGCCACTTCTCCTGTCACTTCAAGGGACCTTGTGAAGAGGTGCCTCCGGCCACCCCGTCGGATCTTCCTACAGGAGCCTGTGAGAACCCACGGACCCAAGACGCCACCTCCCTCCCCGATGGAGGCCAGGTCCCTGCACGGTGCCCAGGAGGCTTCTGCGTCGGGGTCCTCCTGGAGGTAGGGCTGAGGGCGCGCTGGCCGGGGCCACCCTTCCCAATGGGCTCCCTGGGGACCATCCTTCCCATCGCCCTGGCACCCAGGAGGTCCAGGGGAGTCGCCAGGTGGTAAGGGGCTGTGGGACCCAAACCCGGCCTTCCGTTTCTAAATCTCAGCTACCCCCACCCCCGGCAGCCATGGCTGCCAGGTCCATCACTGGTATAACCCACGGTCCTGATTCTAGAACATTCCACACCTGCCCTCCTCACAGCCTCCTGGAGTCAGGGGCTCCCTGTTTGCCAACAGGGTGGGCCACGGGGTCCGGGAAAAGCTGCTGAGAGCCCACTCACTGTGCCTCAGTGTCCTGACCTGCAATGGGTCATGGCCCACACTGGCAGGCTATTGTGAGGACCAAAGGGGCAACCAGGCATACAGTAGGAACTCAGTACGTGTGCATGCCCCGCTCCACTTCCTCAAGCCTCGTCACAGACGGGCTCTGCCGCTCTGAGCCCACGTTAAGGAGCCCAGGTTCCAGGTCCTCCCCGAGAAGGACCAAATGGACCGTCCGACCTACACCTCAGAGTCTGAGGGAGGAGCTCAGCCCAGACCTGGAGCAGGATGCCTCAGGGCACAGGAGGGGCCGCCCGAGGCTACTCTATGTGACGGCAGTGTGGTTTGTGGGGGTGCAAGCCCACCCACACCCATCCAGCGGGGAGCCCTTCTTGATCCAGGCCAGGTATGAGCATCTCCCAAGCTGGTCCAACCAGAGCAAGGTTCAAGGTTTTGTTCAGTTTAGATCTGTCTTCCTCTGCCAATGAGGTGTGTAGATGCAAAGCCTGGGACTTCTGCAGCCACTTGGCTCCATGAGGCACACAGCCTGACAACGCCAAGACAGGCAGAGCCAGAGAACCGCTGAGCCGCTCAGGCAGAGCCCCGGTCCAACCGCCCCGACTTCCCCGCCGTGCACGCCACTTTGAGCTGGTTTCGTGCCTCCTAAGACAAAAATCCCCAAATCACAGGAGCACCCAGGGAGGGCTGCCGCTGGTTCCACTATCAGCTCGAGGGCTGGACTTGGAAGTCCAACGGCGCTCCTCCCAGTGGTCAAGGTCCATCTGGAAAACCGAGAGCCCATCCATCGGAGGCTCCTTGGCGGTTTTCTGTAGATGGCAGTTGAGCCCAGAAGAGGGATGGCCTCCTCCAAGGCCACCCAGCCGGTCAGTGCCACGTTCAGCACCCGGGCCCGGCCTCTGGACTGCAGGCCGCACAGCATTCCCAAAGGGAGAGCGGCCAGCGGGCCTGCCCAGCCTGACCCACCGACCTGCTGAAGTGATGCTCCGCAGGCCGCGGGCTTCCCACCTCAGAGTCGCTGGGACCGTGGAGCCGCGTGTCGCGGTGCCTGGCGCGGTGAGCGCGGGGGTGGCTGGCTGGGCTCAGGGGGAGCCTGGGGACTGCTCCGCAGGAGGCCAGCGCCCACACGCTGGAAGCAGATCAGAGCAGCCCGTCTCCCAGGGCCGCGGCCACTCCCCACTTGAGAAGGACTCTGTACCCATTTCACTCTGTTCCCTTCTCGGTGGCTCTTTAATGAGATGATGTTAGAGCTGGAAGTCCACAGTGGGGGCCGCGCAGACAGACAGACAGACAACCAGCCGGCCTCCTCCTCCCCTCCCCGGAGGTGCTGGGTGGGCGGCAAGAGGGGCCCAGCCACCGACTCCTGTCCCCTAGACACCCCTGGGCTGGGCTTGTGGCGTCTTTGCAGTCACAATGGGACACAAGCATCTGCCTGGTTCAGGTGGAGCAGGGGACACCAGAGACAGAAGAAGCCAAGAGGTCGGGACAAGGTCACAGCTAGCGAGAGACAGAGCTGAGGCCTGAAACCCTAGCTCCTGTCCCATGCGCCCCCAGGAGCTCGCGTCACCCTGGGGACAGACGGTCTCCCGGGGCAGGAGGTCAGCAGGAGCTCATGGAGAATCCCCCTCCCACAGGGGGCAGTGGAGAGCCCAGGGCAGGACTGGAGGCCCCAGGGCTGGCCGTGGGGGTGGGGCTGTGTCCCAAGACCCTCGGGGTCCCACAGCCAGGACCTGCCTCTGCCTCACACCTGGCCACGCTGTCCCCATGCCTGCCCCACCCAGGTGATGGGGCTCCTCTGGACGTGGCCCCGCCAGCCTCAGGCTGCTGCCCCGTGGCTCTGTGGCACCGCCGTGGGCAGGTGGCCCACAGGGGGGACTTACTGACTTCTATGTGGTCGCCCGAGTTTTCTAGAAAATTGTGGAAAAGAAACCAATCGTGGCCGTTCAACTTTTCTAAGGTAAAAACAGGACAGGAGGGACAAGCTCCTGGGGGGAGGTCCACGTAAGGGGACGCCGGGCGGTCCTCACAGTCACATCCACGAGGTGACGCAGAGGCACGGAAGTCAGGGGTTCCTGGCCACGCACGCGCGGGGTCTGCGTGTCTCCTGCGGGGGACGCCCACACGCACACCCCAAGCCCACCTCTGTCTGGGGAGGGAGAGGGACGGCCGGGGGCCCTGGGCCTCACATTAGGCTCCTGAGCCGACCCTGAGCAGGGGCTCGGCAGAGACCAGGAGCACGCGGAGCTGGTGTGGGGACGGCCACCCAGAGTCACAGCTGAGCAGCGCCTGGAGGACAGTCCCCAATGTGACTGTCAGGAAGCCGGTCGAGTGACGTGAAAATTATTCAGTGTTAATGATAAAGAAAAGAGGCACAAAAAAAATTAAAAATTAAAAAGAAAGAAAAGAGGCACAGGTGGGCCCCCAAACCAAGGCCAATCAGGATGTGGACGGGAGCCGCGCTGTGAATGCTTCCGGAAGCTTCTAACTGCCCCCGACTGGCGATCTATCTTGACCCTGTCTCAAAATAAAGTAAAAATGTCTGGGATGTGGCTCGGGGGTTAAGCGCCCCTGGGTTCAATCCCTGGTTCCCCCTAAAGATGCTCCCCACTGAGGGGGACCTCCCAACAGGGGAAACTGGGTGGGGGGCTCTGTGGGAACCTGCCCTTCCTGCTGGACATTCCTGTTAACCTAGAAGCACTTTAAGAAATAAAATAAATAAATAACAGAAACACCCCTGAAGCCTGGTCCCAAGGACCCTCGCCCCCTGTGGCCCCTCGGCCAGCACTGAGCTCCGCAGGGCCCCAGGCCAGCTGGCTGTGAGGATCCTCCCACCCCACGCTCGGCCTCGTCTCCAGGACCCAGGAGCGGGGACGGCCAGAGAGGCTCGCCAGCCCCTGCCCTCCCGGGCGCCCTCCACCAGGGCCTGGCAGGGGCAGCTGCCAGGCGTCCAGGAGTCTGGTCAACTCCAGCAGCAGGGTCCCACCGTCACCGTCTCGGGTCACACTGGGGCATCTGCCTCCTCCCCTGCCCGCCCACCTCCCCTCTGCCGGGTGTGTGGATAAGATGGAGGACCCTGCACCCTGCGGCGTGAGCAAAGCCCCCTTCACCGGCCCTGCTGGAACCGACTCCCGATCCCACGGGGCCTGTGGCCACCGCCCTGGCCCAAGTGTCCAAACACAAGTCAGTGACCGGACCCCAGGGACACACCTCTCTGTATCAGCCGCCAGCCTGGCTTGGCCGAGGCTTATCAGAGCCGCTCAGGTTACCCCCGGGGAACGCCCGGCCAGCCGCGCCCTGCCCTGCCGCCCTGCCTGCTGGCCGGGCCCTCTGTGTCGCTGGCCTCGCCCAGTCTTCAATCCATCAGATCTCTGGCGGCTGGCGGCCCTGGGTTCCGTGAAGGTGGCCCAGGGGTGGACCTGGGGCAGACGACCTGGAGGGGGCCAAGGGCAAGGGGCCCTGGGGGACGCCCTTCGGGGCTTCATCTGGGGAGACCTCGTAGGCTGTGCCTTGGGGGGGCCTCAAGGACACCACGCTGTGAAGCAGGCCAGTCACAGAGGACCCACACTGCAGGGCCCCTCCTCGAGGTCACCCAGTTGTCAACTCCACGGGGACAGAAAGTAGCATGTGGAGCCGGGCCGGAGGGCGGGTGCTGGGTTGGATGGACAGCGTGGGGACGCGAGGAAGCGCTGCAGGTGGAGGTGGTGACCGCAGGGTGGACGGCCCAGCACCCTGAGCTGTGCACTGGACGTAGTCGAGATGCTAGAGCAGAACAGGACGCCACCGGCCCCCACTCCAGGAGGGAGATGACCCCCTTCCCCGCGGGACCTGGGCCATGGAGGGGCCGCCTGTACCGGGCCTCGGCCACGGGCCTCAGAGCCCAGGACGTCACCTGGGGAATCCAAGAAGGACTCCGAGACGGCTGTCACTCCTGTTTCACCATCTGGCAGATGTGAGACTGTCCCAGCGTGCGGTGAGCCGCTCCTGGCCATCCGTGGTCCCCGGATGACCTCCCTGCCCTGCAGAGCCCAGTGCTGCCCCTCGCCCGCGGGGCTGCTGCGTCTCACCTGCTCCCCTGGGGCCAGGCTCCGGGGGCACCCGCGGCCCAGTCCAGCCACCCTCCTGTCCCTGGTGGCCTCCACCCGTCGTCCTGGGCCCCTCCCGACTCCTCCTGCAGGCCAGGCCACCGCCTCAGCCAGGGCTCCCTGTACGTCCTGGGCCAGCCACTGTCAGAGCCCGTTGGTGGCTCAGGGACCATCCCTGCTGCTGCAGACCCTGCTACTACAGACCAAGCAGGTGCCAGCGTTCACGTGTTGTCACCAGAACCCCGTGTGACGGTACTGCGAGACCTCGGTCAGACACATCGGGGCGGAGCAGTGGGGTTAGTGCCTCTGAAGGGACCTGGAGAGACATCTGCCCCCTGTCCCCACCGCATGGGGGACGGAGGAGGTGGCCGTCTGCCCGCCAGGAAAGCAGCACCTCCGTCTGGGACTCCCAGACTCAGAACGTGAGAACCAAATTCCCACTGAAGCCCAAGAACCTCCCCCACGCCTGGATCTGACCTGGGGGCCGGCCGGACGCCGCCTCCCTCCCGGCCCCCCTGCCTGGCCTCTGGCCTGGGCTCCTTCCTCGGGCTGCGACACCTTCCGCTCTCAGTGCCACCGACTCCTCAGCCCCTGGGTCTGGGCTCCCCTCTCCTCCCCGGGGGCAGCCCCCGCCTGGACAGAAGCGGTGGTCCCAGCAGGAGGGGGCCCAGAGGCTGAGCTCCGCCTGGCCCCCCACGGGCCCAACGAGGTGCAGAGCGGCCCCTGCCCTGGGCGATGGGTGGACGACAGACTGATTCCTGCCTCCAGGTCGGCTCACCTGGGCGTCCCCGGCAGCCTTGTGCTGAAAAGACCCCAAACCGTCCTATGTAGCGTGAGACACTTTGGCCACCCGCCTTGTATTTTAACCAACCAAGAGTTAGTAAAAAGCTTTTTTAAAAATGATGATTATTCGTGCAGTTATCAGGATGCTGACTGTATTAAAATCACACACGCACATGCACACACACACACACGCACACAAGCACACGCGCACGCACACGTGCACATACACACACACACACACACTCACGATGATACAGCTGGACACAGATGTAGGAAAAATACGCCCCGGGGTGGCTGTTTGAAGGTCTCCTGAGAGTCCTGCCTCTCGGCCACATAGGATGGGCTGCTCTTGTAACAAGGAAGATGTTGTTTTTTAAGATTTAAAAAGCTGCCCTGAGTGGCAGGCTTGCTGGACACGGGGGACACGGAGGAGGGTGAGGAGGGGTCAAGGGCCCCGGGTGAAGCCAGGCCCCACGTCCAGTGAACAGTGTGGGGACCCAGGGCACCTGTGGGCACTGGCTCTGGGGCTGACGGAGGGGAGAACCTGCGGGGCCAGCAGGAAGGGTCCACCTGTCCCAGCAGAGGTGACCCTGGTCCTGAGGCCCCTGGAACCCCAAGGTCACGCTTTCCCCCACGAATGTTACAGATCAATGAAAACAGATGAAGGTCGTCCGTCTGCGGCACTTTCCTGGGTGTCAGGGACGCTGTCCCCCGACAGTGTATTTGAGGTCGAGGTGTCTGTGGGGTCAGTGGAGATGGGGGTGGGGGGCCAAGGGCCCCAGACTCTGTCACTCGAGGCCCACTGGCTCCCAGCAGGTGTTCGGAAGCCTTGAGGGCCCCCAGGGCGCTCTGCTCATCCCAGCAGGGGACAGCCATGGGGGGGGCCTCGGCCACCTGGTGGATCCCCTCCTTCCAGAGGCCCTGCCCCCCAGCTCTCTGCAGGGAGCCCCACCCCAGGGTCCTCTGGTTCCATGTTGAGGACAAGGAAGGCGGCTCTCTCCTTCCCCGCAGCTGCCTTGGGCCCTGGTCTGGAGTCTGACACCCAGGAAGGCACAGAGGGACCGAGCGGCTGGGGCTGGACCCTGACTCAGGCGTCAGCTGCAGCAAGACCCTCTCCACTGCCCCTCGGGGCCTGTCCCCTGCTCTCCCAGGCTGGCCTCCCGCGTCCTGCCGTGGGCATGGCTTGGGTGAAAGGCCTCTCCTGCATCGTCCCTGTCATTGGACACAGCCACCCTCTGCTCCAGAGGTCCTCCCCAGGACAAGTGACATGTCACAATCCTCACCGTCTCTCAGGAACTCCTTCGATGGAGACCTGGCTCCTGGTTGGGGAAGGTCCCGCAGAGTCTTTCTGGAGGGAATCAGAGCCAGCGGTCCAGGAAGACCTCCGCAGAGCAGCTCAGCGCCCCCCATGAGCACAGCCGGAGCTGGGCCCAAGTTCCTGCCTGTGGGTGAGGCCGGGAGCTGAGGCCACGTGAGGATGCGGTTCCAAGCCCGCAGTGGCCCTGGAGCTGACCTCTCCTGTTCACCACCAAGGACGGCCAACCCACTCACAGGCCACACACCGGGAGTGCAGAGGGGACAGCACCGGGTCTGGGAAGCCCGCCTTGTGGACCAGCCTCAGCAGGAAGACCAAGGGGGCCTCTCCCCGATGGGCTCAGCACCCGATGCCCACTACTGCGCCCGGCACCAGAGCCACCTGGTCACCCGGAGGCTCAAGGCCCTGCCAGGCCTGAGTGAAAAGGCACCCTGCCGACCACGACGTGGCCCTTGCCCAGATGCAGGGACAAGAGGTCTTCATGGTGCACACACACCCCCCAGGGGACAGGAATGGTCACATGGGTAGGGACAGGGGACGTCATGGGGCTGTCACTTCTGCTTTTAGGGTTGTGTGTGTGTGTGTCAGGGACACAGGGACTCGCGATGCTGCCCAGACATTCCCTGAACTCCTGGGCTCGTGAGATCCTGCCTCAGGGCTGGGACAAGGTCCTCCCACCAACCACATGAGCCAAAATCAAACCTAAAAATCTGCCAAATTTGCTGCAGAAGGCCTGACGCCCCACTGGGCCCGGCGGCTGCAGCTGAGGCTCCATATCCACAGGGGCCCTGCTGCCCTCCGTCTGGGTGGCCCTCGGGCCCCAGGCCCCCAGGACTGAGGCCCTCCACCACAGATGAACTTCCCTGTCCCCAGGCCTAAGCCTCCGAGCACCACCTGACCGGAACCTCATAGGAGGAATTGAGAATCCCCGTGACCCCTCCCTGGCCCCCACCCCAGCCCCGAGCAGAGGAGAAAACCCACAAAGAGGATTGAAAGGCAGCCTTTCCCTGAGCCCAGGGCTGATTCTTCTCCTCACCTCCCCCCGTTTCCAAGAGCCCTCCCTCCTGGGAACACAGCAGCTCACCCCAAATCACAAAGGCCCCCCGGGACCAGGCACCCATCGCGGTCCCAGCCCAGGTGGCAGAGGGAATTAGGAGCCATGCCCATGGGCTCTCCCTGGCACCGGCCAGCAGGAAGGCCCTCTGCCCACTGGCCGGCACCCTGGGCGGCTCCGTGGGAACCCCCTGGGGTTGTGCCACGGGAGTGTGCTGTCCGCTCTCGTCCCCTAGCTGACCCTCGAGACCCAGCCGGACTCAGAAGGAGGCCATTCCGCCTGCAGGAGGAACACGACCCTGTGACAGTGCTGCAGAGAGGGGGGACCCCAGCCCCACTCCAGCACCCTGCCCCCAACCCCACGCCCCAGCACGCTCAGCCACACCCACCGTGTCCCATTACCGTCTTCCTGTCTTCCGGTTGACATGCTGCTGTGCACACGTGACAACCAGCTGCAGCCCCATGAGGCCTGGCAAAGGGTCGGGGGCTCAGCAACCTCTGTGCCACCCCCACAGTGAGGCTGCAGCCATGACCCGGGCTTCTGCAGGGGACGCCAGGATCAGAGGCCCCGCAGCCTGGCCAGGGAGGGGCGTGCAAGCCAAACCCTGCCCTCAGCCTGCACCTGGCACCCCTGAGTCACTCTCACCCTCTGACACCCTCCTGCGAGGTCAAGATCAAGGTGTCTTGTCCCAGGGCAGGGGCCGCGGGCCAGGCTTCTTCTGAGAACATCCCTGCTCCTGCAGCCATTTCCCTGGGGCTTGGCTTATGCCGAGGAGTCATCGCGCCGTCATAGAGACGGGGAGGTGGTAGGCCAGGACCTCTGGCTGACCGGACGTCCCACCTGTGGAGTCCCACTGGACAGACTGCAGAGAGCGGAGACTTGAACTTTCATTCTGAGGGCAAGGAAACCAAGGCCCAGGGGGACAATGTGACTCATGATGGGGTCTCCCAAGGACCGGTGCTCCTGCGGTCCCCAGGTCCCTGGGGGCGGGGGCAGACCCTGGGGACCTGCTCATCTGAGCAGGAAACAGTTGGGCTCTCAACTTAGATCCCTGCGGCAGGACTAAATGAGGCCAGCCTCCGGATCCCAGCAGACACCTGTCCCCAGCACCCGGTCCCCTGCCCCCACCAGCAGCTCCCCCTCTCTGCTGAAGTTCTGGGCTGGCCCTCGGCCATCACCGTGTGGAGAACCATCCCAGGGGCAGGAGGGCAGGAAGGAGGATGTTTGGACGAGCTGAGAGCCCTCTTGAGATTCCGGGGTTCGGAGCTCATGCTGAGCTGGCCCAAGTCCGCTTCCTGTTTACAAGGGCCGGTGGGGGGGGCCAGGGAAGCCCCAGGAGGCTCCAGGGCGTGGGGCCTGGACGCAGGGGGGTGCGCAGGGGGGTGCGTTTCCCTTGGACACACCCCGGCTCAGCAACTAAACACAAAGTGGCCTGGCACGTCCCGTGGAGCTCGCTAAACCCAGAACATTTTTGAAAAGATGTTGGACTAATCCCGTCCCTGGGCGGTCGGCTTCTCTCAAGGCCCGCGGCCTGCACAGCGCCCCACACGCTGGCGGCCCCAGGCCTGCTTGCCCTCTGCCACTGTCTAGGAGTCAGGCTGCCCTGCAGCAGGGGTCCCCAAGACCCCGACTCCCCGCCTCTCCTGGGTGCCCCTCTTGGCTCTCAGCAGCGGCACCCAGCGGGGGGGCCGGCTCCGGTGGGGCTTTTGCAGAGACGTGGTGGCTGGCGCCATCTCCCTGGAGCCTGCGAGGCCTCTGGTTGTGATGAAGGGCGTCAGAGCACCGCCAGCCACAGCCCCCCCAACCACAGCACTGTCACTGTGTGGCCGGGACGGCTCTCGGTGCCCCTGGGTTCCCAGAAGGCCCTGGGGGAACCGTCCGAAATGTCCCAGCGGCCTCCAGGAAATTCCCTGCCACCACCCAAATGGACCCCACAGAGCTGCCGGGTCCATTTGGGTCCATTTCTAGGGCAAAGGCGACGCCCACACCGCAGCCAGCCCGCTGGGCGTCTGCTGGAACCTCCTCCCGGGGCCTCGCCCTTCCCGCTGCCTGAGGATGGTCCAGGCCGCTCCCCACGCCCCCTCCAGGAGGCCCCGGGGCTCAGGGTGTCCACGTTCACCAAGGCGGGTCTGGGTCAGCAGGGCAGCAGCCCAGGTCCCCGCCAGCCCACTGTGTGCCTCAGATGCCTGGTTGAATAAGACCCCAGTGGCCTTGAGCGACTCGCAGGAGGGACAGCCCAGAGATCACGGCCAACCACGGGGAGAAGCCGCCGTCCACCCCTCACCTGCCCCCGGCCTTCGTCCATCCAGCAGCACGTCCTCGAGACTCACAGGGGGTCCTGGGTTGCTCTGACCACAGCGACACACTGACGCGGCTCTGGGGACTGGAGCCTGCGCCCAAGGGGCAGGCCTGCTTTCCCTGAAGGCTCTGGGGAGGACCGGTGTCTTCCAGCTCCCGGATGGACACAAATCATCTGTGTGGTGGTGACCAGCTTGTGGCCACCTCTCCCTGATCTCTACCTCCACGCCCCGCGGCCTGCTCCCCATGTCCCTGTGTCAAATGTCTCTCTTCTCATAGGTCACGTTGGGACGGCCCACCTCACCCACCCTGACCTCCCCTACTACGTCAGACCACGTCTGCAACGACCCTGTTATCCGCCCCGTTCTGGGGCTCTGGATTTTGTGACACTGGATTCTGTGGGGACACCATCCAACCTGGTGCAAGAATGTTCTAGAAGCAGGCCCTATTCCAGGGCCTGTTTCTGCATTTCTGGGGCAGGAAACAGGTTTAAAGAAAAAATTGAACCTGAAGAGAATGTCGGGTCTGGGGAATGTCTGGAGAGGGCTCCCAGGGGACTGGGAGGCCACTGTCTGCTGGGAGGGTCAGGACGGCCTCATAGGTGGCAACTGCCCAGAGTGCAGTGGACCATGGGGCAGGGGAGTTGTGCCTGGAGCAACAGAGGCAGTGGCCTGAGTCGGGGGTGGGCGGGTCCCCTTGCCCTCAGGGGAGGCCGTGGGGGAGGACAGGCCCCAGGTGGCCACCCCCGGGCCCTGCAAGGCTTCTTCCTACCAGGCTGAGCGTGTGACAAGGGCCTGGGGACTTCTGGGGAGTCTGAAAACAGGCCCAAGTGTGCGCCAGGCTGAGTCGGGCCACCATGAGGACAGTCCCAGGAGGGCGAGAAGGACACAGGGAGGGGTCACAGGAGGGGTGGAGCCCGGTCACAGGCAGATCACAGTCACGCTGACAGGAGGGACTGGACAGAGGGAGAAACGTCCTGGTCCCCGAGAGGGTCTGGGCGCACTTGCTGAAGAGCAGTGCTGCTGGCCGCCCTCAGTGCCCCGCGGTCACCATGGGGACTGCCAGGAACCTGGCCTGGGGTCGAGGCTCAGGGCAGGGGATCTCTGAGCTGGCCAGGAAGCAGGGCATTCAAGGGAGGGGTCAGCAGGAGCATGTCCTGGGCCCAGTCCTCTGATCTGGACGGTTTCCGTGTCCCCTCCTGTGCCCCCAGCCCCCGAGGCAGGTCCTGCTTCACCTAGAACGGGCAGCAGGGCAAAAGGGCAGCGCCTGTGGCCTCTGCCCGGCTCTGCTCTGACTGGCACAGGAACCCGGGCCTGGGGAGGTCAGATCGTGGTCACGTCTCAGCCCGGTGCCTGTGAATGGGACGTCATTGGGAACAGGTCTCTGCACGTGTGATCAAGTGAAGCCAAGGTCCTAGTCAAGAGGTGGCCCCTACACTAGGCCCAGCGTCCTCATGACGAGAGGGAGGCCCGGAGACCCTCGGCACAGAGCAAGCCACACGGTGGGCGGGTGGGGACTACCAGAGCAGGGGCCAGGCAGGTGGCAGCTTCTCCTGCAGAGCCTCGAAGGAACCCATCCGCGACACCTCGACCTGGACTCTGGGGAGCCAGACTGTGAGGGACGATCATTTCTCCTGCTTAAAGCCACCCAGTGCACAGGACGTCCCGATGGCAGCCCAGGACACTGGCAGAGACCCAAAGCTGTGCCCACATGATGGAGAGAGCTGGCACTGTACAACGTCCCTGGGGACTCCATCCTGCACTGGTCACCCAGAACCTCTGGAGGCCAAGGCAGCAGCCCCGTCAGCAGCCTCACCCGGAAGCTGCACCCCGCTGCACCCCGCCAGGCAGGACCTGCACTGGACCAGAGCCCCAGGGGTCTCCTCTGCTCCGAGGTCTGCGAAGCCCCGCCCTGGAGCAGGGACATGAGCAAGGACACCAAGGGGGCCTCTATGGGGCAGAGGGGGCCTGGGCGGGGCCTAAAGCCGAGCTTGGTGACCGTGAGGGGGGACTCTGAGACACTCTCCTGAGTCTGAGCGGGAGCCACACCTCCAAGTGGCCCTGGAGAGAAAGCCAGGAAGCCTCTCCTCCTATCCAACGTCCACCTTGGGCTGGAGGCACAACCAGGGGCGGCACTGGCATCCCAGTGGGGAAGATGTGTCCTCATGGGCCCCGGGCGTCCTCTGGGGTGAGGACAGTGCAGCTGCCTGTGAGGGTCAGGCGGTGGCAGGACGTGGGGAATGCCCTCAGTGCCACTGGCCTGCCCCCTGGTAAGCGGCCCCTTTTACCTTACACGGATCTCACTCCCCTTTTAAGAATCGGCCCACAGGAGACTGACCTCTCCTGCATTTCCTGGTGGCCTTCAGATCACATCCCACATGCTGCATCAGGGTGTCTGGGTGTCACGGGGAGAAACAGGAGGAAGGCCCACGGGAAACCTCGTGATGTCATTCACTCCAAGAACTGCACTAGCTTCGCGTGTGCCTGGCCAGGGTCAGCCATCCAGGAGCAGTCCTGCCCCACGCAGCAAAGAAGGGGCCACGCCGAGGGCCACAGGTTGAGAGAGCTGCCTGCAATCAGAAGTGCCACTCAAAGGGGCGCCCTCCCGACCAGCACGTGGTCAGCTCACCACTCAATAACCCGGGTGACTCTGCATTGCAGGACTGCAGGTCAGAGGTCATCCACAAGGCTCAGGGCAGAAGAGGACCCAGGAGGCTGGGTGGAGTAGAGGCCGGATGTGCCTGGACGTGCAGGGATCTGCCCTGATGAGCAAGGCAGAGAACGTGCACGTGGGGTCAAGCCCTCGCCTCCTCTGCCGCTTCCTGCCAGGGATCTTGGACAAGCCACTTAGACCTCCTGAGCTTGTTTTACCTCTAAGATAGAAGATGACCTCCCCCTAACAGTGCTGCTGGGAGAGACAAACAGGCACGACTTCAAACCCAGCCTCCAAAACTCCTGTGGATGAAGGGACTCGAAAATCAGTAGCTCACAATCAAAAATCACAAAACATTAGAACAGAAGTCAGCAAAAGAGCAGACGGCAGAATCAAGCCACGAAGCCTTCAAAATCCAACAGATCAACGTAAGAAATAATATAAATGTTGAATACGTTTAAAGAGATAAAAGCAACGCTTAAAATACAACCAAGGAGAAATCCATAAATAGCAACCAACCAGGTTTGAAAAAAAATAATATAGAATTTCTAGAAACAAAAAATACAGGGGCTGGGGTTGTGGCTCAGGGCAGAGCGCTCCACCTAGCACGGGCGAGGCCCTGGGTTCGATCCTCAGCACCACATAAAAATAAATAAATAAAGGTATTGTGTCCAACTACAACTAAAAAAATTTTTTTTAAATACATAATTACTAAAATCAAAAATGCACCAAATGTTGAATAGCTATAATTTCAGACTAAGTAGACTTCAGAGCAAAGAAAATCTCTGGGGTTAAAAAAAGAGACGCTACATTATGACTAAAACGAAAGACCAATTCACTGCTCACACAACCACCCCAAATGCTCATAACCTATGAGCAGAATTTCAAAAGGCTTGACGCTAAGCTAATGGAATTGAAGAGAAAAATAGGTAAATCCACAAGTGCAGTGGAGACTTCAACATCCTCTCTCAAAAACAAAATTCACAGAAAAGCATCAATGATAGAGAGGAACTGAATAATACCATTTACGTCTAGATCTAAGAGTCATTTAGAACATTCTACCCCCAGAGAGCAGAAAACATATTATTTTCAATATTCATCAAGATAGACTATGTCCTAGGCCATAAAACACAACTTAACACCTTAGAAGAATTTAAATCACACAAAGTATGCCCTACACTGCAATTCAACTGCACCACGGTAACAGAAA